TCGGGAAGTGGGTATGTTTGTTCAACAATCCATACATCATCAGTAAACGGGTAATAAAAATACTCCTCGTCTTGCCTTCCCTTCTCCCGATGGTCTGGAAGAGGCAACGCGGCTGCTTGCAATGGCATTCGGGATGCGCTACGTCGCGAAGCGGCGGCCGCCGGACTCGAAGTCAGGCCACCCCCTCTAGGCCCGGCAAGCCAGGAAGATCGAGGTCCTCACCGACTGAGACGGGAGATACCCCGCCCCGTAGAATGGCCCCACCACACAAGGTCTGTTTCCACAAGACTTCCTAATCATATGAGGTGCCGTTGTCGCTCCCGGAGCCTCTGTCTGTAGACAGGTCCTCTGCCGGTCCAGCAGGACGTAGCAACGCACGCCAACCGACCTCACTTTCTTCTGGGACAAGGGTTTCTCATTTCTTCTGTCTTCGGATGCCCACCCCAGGATGAAGATTGCTATCGGGAAAATAAAGCACCCCCAGGGTCTTGTATATCTTCTTGGAACTCGACTGGGTCGATTCCAATATCCCGAAGGAGTCATGAGAAACCTCGCTTCTCCAGTCTTTCCTCCGGTCAGCATGGCTCATGTTGAACCATCGGATGGGGTGGATTCACGGGCTGGTGGAATTTGATAATTTATTGAGCCATTGAGCGCCAATGGATCTGGGTCAGCGACCCACACTCTCGTAATAGGTACAAAATCTGAATCGAAATACAGCACGACTCGAATGCTGTACGTTTTCCGTCTACCTCAAGGCCAACTTCTCAATTAGCTCATCCTGGTCGAGCCCAACATCAACACGCCGATCTTCGAACTATTCCATGGCATCTGCTGAGGACCCCGACCATCCGGCACCGCAGGCGCGTGGCCCGCCACGATTCCCCCCGGGCCGTCGTTACTGGAGTCATCATCATCGTTCGGTGGTGTTGCGGCCTCGCCCCATGCTGGGGGCGGTGGCATAGGTTCGCCAGGGTCCCGGTCACTGAACGGCGGAGCCGTCTGTGGACCCAATCGGGCCCCCTGGCCGGCTGAGCCAGCAGAGAGACCACCCGGGGGAATAATAACATTATTAACTTGCGTCTGCGCTTCCTCGCACGCTTCTCTTCTAGGGAACTTGGGCTCTTGATCAGCTGCCGCGCCGTCCAAAATATTGCCGCGGATTTGATCGGACCTCTCGATTATCGGGCGCTCGCCTGTTGGCGCCCGCCCTGCGCTCAGGTTAAGTCCGCCAAGTTGTCTCAGCGGTGGCGCGTGGCTTTCAGACCCCACCATGCCCCCCGCTTCATGTGCATATCCGAAGTAAATCCCCGCGGTCATCGCCCCGTCTGTTTTGGCGATCCGAGGCCTACATTCAAAAGGAGGCACGAAGCGAACGAGAAATCCAAACGGAAGGCGCGGAGCAGCAAACTCATGTCCGAATCTGCGCCCCCACGATGATTCGCCTTCCTGAAGGACCTCGCGCTGTAGCAGCGACAAACATATCGGACGGCACACGGCCCAAAAGGCGGGGGAAGGCCAGCCTGCATCAACAGGGCTCGGGCCCCAATCTGACCAATCCCATTGGTGTGTTCGGCAACAGCCATGAGCTTCTTGTTGCCAAGGATGGTAGGACCATGTGCTATCTTCAGCTCGATGCACGCCCGTGCGAGTTCCTCTCACCGTCAGCATAGCAATACTCTAACTTTTCTCCCGGGGCTTTGAGGCTCAAAAAAACAAATTGCACACGTGAGCCGCAGATTTGTCGCGCGCACCCTGCGCTGGTAGGAAATCGGCTGCCCGGTAGCGAAAAGTCACGCACGCAGTCTCGTCGTGGAGCCCCGGCGATAGGCCATCCATCGCAAGCCAGTGATCCATGTGGTCAGGTGTCCGAACGTCGTGGGCTTCGCGCATGGCCCAGGTACCCTCAGCCCCTTATTGCGCGCCATTCTCGGTCGACGCCTTCTAGCCTTTGCCCAGTTACATACCGAGCAAAAGGGTTTCTTTGGAGTGTGAGTTGGTAGATTCGAAAAGGGGGGCCGCTCTCTTCTCGAGTCGCTCAGTCGCTGAGACTGGCACCTCAACCTCAGCATCATCCGGGTCGAATTCGGGAGGTACGTTGATGTCAACAAGGTCAATGCCACCCGAGCCCTCACCTGCATTCTCATGTTGGCCGGGTGCTGCGGCTAGCGCGATGGAGTCAAATCATCGACCCGCGTCGCAAGGCAAAACTCCCGAAACTCCATACGAACAAGGGCTCTCATACACTGCCGCACAGCCCTCGGCTAAGCCGTGACGCGGTCCTACAACTGACAACTGCGTCGCGATTGGAAGAAGATGAGGGACTTCTCAAACTCATGGCGCCGGCGGGTGTCCCGCTCCTACCGCGCCCACGAGTTGTCTGAGGCAAATACTAGAAATGGGTGACGGTATCCATGGAGTCTACATCGGATGGGAATGTGCAATCAGCTGTACCTGGCCTGCCATCCGCGTAGCCATGGTTGTAATCATCTCATGCGTGCGCAGGTCTATTGTTCCGCGAATCTGACTTGATTGGGGCGGAGGACCTTCCGCAGATTCCACATGACCCAGAAATGTCTTGGCGCCTGACGCCACGCAACGCCACCGCTCGGGGGTCGCAGGCTTCCCGGCGGCGACCGTGCACATCCAATGACCCAGCGCCTCTCTGCCAGACAGGGTGAAGCGCGGTATCGTGCCCTCAACGATCAAGTCTACTCTATGACCGTTGGGTAGAAGTCCGCGTCGCTGGCCTGCTGGCCAAGCAAAACTAAAGCCGCGATCCATGCACCGCTCCCCTACTGAGATCACCGCCGGCGTTCCCGGCATGACTAACGCTTCAAATTTTCCGCCCCTGAAATCGGGGCATGCGATGCGAACTGAACCGAGGGCCCGCGAAGAACCTCCGGCAATTTTCAGGGCGATTGACTCTTCAAGTCGATTTATCATACCCACTGCGCCTGCAGCTCGAATAACCTCTCAGCAATGAGGTTGCGTCCACAGCCCGCGTCACGAATGAACCGAAGCGCTCCGAGGTGCACGTGCGATTTCCCTCTACACCCCGCGGCGGCTGAGCCACCTGGGACAACCTCTTTCCTTCAGGCTCTAACCGAAGATGCCAAACCCCGTCGGCTAAACCGGATGCCCGAATCTGGGCATCCATCGACGATGCTTACCATTCAGTCTGCATTCGTCGATATGTTTGCCCCAGGAACTTCCATCTGTCGTCAATACTCGAAGGCAGCTCTTTTGGGCTGTGGCGACGTACCTTCATCCGAGTGACGGTGGGTTCACGAGTTGAGGGGTGAAACTTGACGTTGAGACCGCGCCGACCCGTCTTCGCAGACCTGAGGCAACTTTAGCTGCGGGGCTCATCGCAAAACAACGCGATGGCCTCCCTTGGAAGAAGATGCAACTGAACGAAGATTGCGAAACATTTCGCCCGTTTTCCCCCGCGCTCCTGTTGCGTCTCGGAAGCGGGAACAGCTTCCTCGGAGAATTCGCTACACCCTACTGTACACACATGGCGCTGTCAAACCGTTAAAAATGTGTCGTCTGAATAATGCCGCAGGCCACGAGATCCCTTGGCCAACGGAGAAGGGCACGCGAGAGGGTCTCCACTGGCTGTGCCAGAGATCCAAGACCCGCGTCTCCCCTGTCGGCTAAGCCGATACTGGCGTCGCAACAATCTGTCTATCAGGTGAGCAAGCATCAGCATCATGTGAGAGATAGATATGATGATCATCTTGGCACTGGCCCATTATCCGCCAGCACCCTGCCGTTGTCACGGATAGCCAGGCGTGTTCTTCGCAAACCAATCTTTGTCGCGTGAGCAGGCCCCTGTCTCGGTAAACACTCTGCACGGTGTATATGTCCCTTTTCCTCTGCCTGTGTGTTGATTCCCTACCCTGGCTCTGCCCAGAAGGGTTCTTACCGTGCAAGCTTAAGGGGCTGGCCAATGCAAATCGCCCCGGGCGGTTCCTCCGGCATCCGCCCCGTGGTTCCCCCAGTGACGCCCCCTTAGCTTAGCGTTGACTATCTCATCTTAGCTTAGCCTATTTCAGCTTAGTTTAGCTTTCTGTCATCTTAGATCCGATTTTTCTTAGCTCAGTTCATTTTCATCTTAGCTTCGCCGAGCTTTAGCATACCATAGCACAGCATAGCATAGCAGAGCGTAGCACCGTATAGCGCAGCACAGCATATCATAGCATAGCCCAGCATAACATAGCACAGCGCAGCATAGCATAGCATAGCAGAGCATAGCGCAACACAGCACAGCATAGCACAGCGCAGCATAGCATAGCATAGCACAGCACAGCAGAGCAGAGCACAGCAGCAAAGCAAAGGCAAAGCAACAGCAGCGACAGCAAAGCAAAGCACAAGCAACGCAAAGCAAAGCAAAGCAAAAGCAAAACAAAGGAAAGGCAAAGCAAAAGCAATGTGCGACAGATGACGAGCCAGTTTACCTAGGCCCCCTACCTAGCTCTGCCTAGACGGTGTAATTCCCGACCAAGGCTCTGCCTAGAGGGTTAGCTTAACTTAGCTCAGTTTAGCCTGAGCATAGCGCAGCGCTGCATTAGTATAGCATAGCATAGCATAACAAAGCAACGCATAGCATAGCACAGCATATCACAGCATAGCACAGCATGGCACAGCATAGCATAGCACTAGCGCAGCTTAGCGTAGCATAGCATATCATAGCTTAGCATAGCACAGCGAAGCATGACATATCATAGCTTAGCATAGCATAGCATAGCATAGCATAGCGCAGCATATCATAGCATAGCATAGCATTATCATAGCGCAGAATACCATGGCATAGCATATCATAGCATAGCATAGCATAGCAACTAATGCTGCTGTCCTAGGGGCCCGGAGAACCATTTGGACAACCACTTGGACAACCCAGCGGGGATCCAGACAATCCCCCTGAACAACCTCCTTGGACAAGCCTCCCCAAAATTTCCCATTTGATATAGTAAACATAATCGTTCAGAGGTTCGAGAGATTTCTTGGATCGATGCTGGACCCCTCCCTGGCACGCGAATCGCACCAAAGGGGTCCAGCGCAGATCCAAGACGTCCGCGCAGACCTACGAAAGGGTATGATTACGCACTGTTGACTTTTCTTCGAAAGATTGAACATCAATCAGCCAGAAATCGAATGATGCACACATTCAGGCGTGGAGTTGCCCAGCTCAGCGCAAACCCCGCTCAGCCGATTCAGAAGAAGCTGCCCTGCATTTTTTCGGGGGGAGGCTTCCCGAGCCCGGCCCAGCCAATAGCAGAGCCGCCCTCGGGGTCGCGAGCGGCCCCCAAATCCGGCTCAGCCCAAATCCGGCCCTGCGGGATCTTCGCCCCGTTTGTGCTGAACCCCGTGACCTGCCCGCTGACCCGCGCCTGCGCGAACCTCGCGATCTCCCCCCGGAAGAACTCCAACGCCGCCTCCGCGCCCAGCCGCAGTTCCGCCTTCTGCTGCGCAGCCGCCTCGGCCAGCGAGACCCCCCCCTGACCGAGGAAAAAACCGAACCGAGGGAAAAAACGAACCGAGGAAAAAACCAAACCGAGGGACAACAACAAACCGAGGAACAAAAACCACCAAGGAAAACACAAACCAAGGAAATAGACCCAGGAAAAAACAAACCGAGGACAAAAACAATCGGGTGAAAAACAAAAAAGGGAAACACACTGAGGAAACGACAATCCGGAGGGGAAACACACAAAAAGAGTAAAAAACTAAGGAAAAGCAACCCGAGGAAAAACAACACCGACTGAGGAAAAAAATGCTTGAAATATGATCACATCAGCTCGCTCTCTCTGCTTCCCTTTATCATACTATCGCTTGCCCTCTTGTTTGTTATCTCTGTCTCTTGCCCTCTTTTTTTTCTCTCTCTCTCTCTCTCTCTGCCTCTCTATCTCTCTCTCTCTCTCTTTCTCTCGTTCCCCTTCTCTCTCTCTCTCTCTCTCCATCCCTTTCTCTCGCTGTCCCATTCTCTCGTTTTCTCTCACTCTGGTTTGGTTATCTCTCTCTCTCTCAATGTTACTAGTTGTATTATTATATATATATATATATGTCCCTCTCTCTCTTGATGTCTCTCTCTCTCTCTCTTGCTCTCCCTTTGTTGTTAATTATTTCTCTCTTTCTCTCTCTCTCTCTATCTGTTTCCCTCTTTCTCGCTGTCCCTTTCCCTCGCATTCTCACACTCGTGTTGTTTTCCTTTCTCTCCCTCCCTCTCTCGTTGTCTCTCCCTGTTTGGTTGCCAGTATTTCGTTATATATATATATATATATATATATATATATATATATATATATATATATATATATATTCGCCGACCCAACGGGCCAGAGGCGTGCTAAGATCTCCGGTAACTGGTTAACAATAACTCTATACTTCGCGCGCGCGGAGCGGCCCTTGGGGGTCCCCGGCCGGAAAGTACCCCGGCAAGGTCCCGGGACACTCCCGGCAAACTCGGGTCAGAGATGCTTCCGAGACGGTCCAAGAGGGTTCCGAATCACCGAACGATTGGCCCAAGACGCCCAACACGGCCTCAATACGGCCCATGAAGCTTCCAAGACGTCCCAAGAGAGCCCCGACCCTTTCCAAGAGAGCCCCAAGAGGCAAAAATCATTGATTTCCATTGGGTGTATCAAGGTTTTTGGCTTCCTCGCCTTTTCGCGTTTCCGACGCTCCAAGACGGCCCAAGAAGCCTCCAAGACAACCCCAACACGGCCCAAAAGGCCTCCAAGAGAGCCCCAAGACCGCCCAAAAGGGCCCCACGACAGCCCAAGAGGCGCCCAAGACGGTCCAAAAGGACCCCAAGAGGGCCCCAAGAGGGGCCCAACATGGAGACCACGAACCGAGAATCCGAGCCTTCCGCTCCAAGAGGCCTCCTGGAGGCTCCAAGAGGCCCCAAAAGGCGACAAGGGGCCCGAAAGAGACCCCAAGAGGCTCGACGACGACTCCCGAGAGACTCCAAGAAGCCCTCGAGAGGCATCCAACGAGATCCCAATGAACGTCCACGAAGCCTCAGAGCGCCAAAACCATTGATTGCCATAGGGTTCTAAGGTTTTTGGGTTCCTCGCCTTTTCGCCTTTCCGACGCTCCAAGACGGCCCAAGAAGCTTCCAAGACAACCCCAAGACGGCCCAAGAGGCCTCCAAGAGAGGCCCACGACCGTCCAAGAGAGCCCCACCACAGCCCAAGAGGCGCCCAAGACGGTCCAAAAGGACCCCAAGAGGGCCCCAAGAGAGGCCCAAGATGGAGACCACGAACCGAAAATACGAGCCTTCCGCTCCAAGAGGCCTCCTGGAGGCTCCAAGAGGCCCCCAAGAGGCCCCAACAAGCGACAAGGGGCTCGAAAAATGCAAATTATTCACTGCGTGGGGATCCCCATATGTGCATCTCCTTGCTGGCGCTCCCTTGGTGGTGGGACTCGGTGAGGACGAATCTGGATTTAAGTGTGACTGAGCTGCCTCTCTCTCTGCTCTCTCTGCTCTCTCTGCTCTCTCTCTCTCTCTCTCTCTCTCTCTCTGCCCTCTCTCTGTCTCTGCCTCTCTTTCCCTGCCTCTCTCTCTCTCTCCTCTCTCTCTGCCTCTCTCTCTCTGCCTCTCTCTCTCTCTGCCTCTCTCTCTGTGCCTCTCTCTCTCTCTGCCTCTATCTCTGCTCTCTCTCTCTCTCTCTCTCTCCTCTCTCTCTTCTCTCTATTCTCTCTCTGCTCTCTCCTCTCTCTCTCACTCTCCCTCTCTCTCTCTCTCTCGCTCTCTCTCTTCTCTCTCTTCTCTTCTCTTTTCTCTCTCTATCTCTCTCTCTCTCCCTTTCTCTCTCTCTCTCTCTCTCTCTCTCTCTCTCTTCTCTCTTTCTCTCTCTCTCTCTCTCTTTCGCTCTCTCGCTCTCTCTTGCTCTCTCTCGCTCTCTGTCGCTCTCTCTCTCGCTCTCTCTCTCTCTCTCTCTCTCTCTCTCTCTCTCGCTCTCACTCGCTCTCTCTCGCTCTCTCTCGCTCTCCCTCGCTAGTCTCGGCTCGAGAATGCCTGGCATTCATAGCGTAGCCGCGACGCGCTGCCCCCCGCGCCCTTCAGCCTGGCGAGACTGGACTGTGGCTTTCCACCACAGGACAGAAGCGCGTCATCCCGATTCCTAGCAGTGCACCACAGCCATGGCACCCCATGCTACGCCAAGCTGCCGCCGCACTTCCATGCAACGGGTTGTCCGGGGCCCGTGCGCCGCCGCCTTCGAGGACGCAGTCAGCTCCTCCGCGGTGACCGCGACCCCCCAGCAGCCTCTGTTTCACCCTACCACCTCACGCCGACGACGACTGCGTCTTCAGCGAGGGGCTCATCACGACGCCGGCGCTGCCCGACCAGCCGAGGACCTCCAGGACGGTGCGCGGCCGCCGCCCCGCTCGCTGGCCGCCCCGAGGCCCGCCCCTCCGGCGGGCCCGCCAGACTTACGGCACCTCGGGACGACAAAGGCCACCTGTCCGCCTCCGCCTGCCCATCTGCCTGGACCACGAGACGAACCCCACCACGACGGGGTCTGCCAGGAGATTCGTCACGACCTTCAGTGCCTCAGCGCTGAGGTTCGCGCACTCCGCGAGGACCTTCAACACCTACGCGAACACTTACCAGCCCTTCGCGCCCCACAGCCCGAACAACCGGTTCGCGCACCCCGCCGCGCCGTTACGACGGTCAGCCGGGTGTCCGTGCACGTCCTTTTCGGCACCATCGCGGGCATCACGGGCACGCTCTGCGCGATCACCGCCACGATCTACGCAGCCTTCCGGGGCGTCTTCAGCTACATGGGCACGGTGGGCCTTGCCCGCCCCAAAAGGGCCGTGTACGCCGTGCAGGGCGGCATAGAGCACCTCCACGGGTTCTTCAACAAGACCGCCGTGTGCATGAGTAATACCGTCAGGACCTTCAACACGGTCTGCGGCTCCGCGGGCACGGCGGGTCTTGCCCTCCCCAAAAGGGCCATCGACCTCATGGACACGCTCTGCCGCCTCATCGGCAACGCCTGGGACTCCCTGGGCACGGTGGGACTCGCCCGCCCAAAACGGGCCGTCGACGGCGGCCACGCCTTCGACTCCATAGGCACGGCGGGTCTGGCCCGCCCCAAACGGGCCACGGTCGGCATCGTCCTGCTCGTCCTCACAGCGACCTCAGCACCGACGCCTGCACTGACGGCCGCATCGACGTCAGCCTCACCGAGCCCTCAGCCACTCACTGTCCTGACGCCTCGCCCAGGGCCGCTGGCGCGGGTGCCGTCTTCAGGCGCACCCTACGCCATTGGGGCCGTCATGCCATGCCATGCCACGTCCGCCTCGTCGACACCATCGTCAGTGCCACTGCCTGCATTGACGTCAACATCGACGCCAGCGTCCCGGGACACCAGGACGCCCGCACCCGTGCCTGCATCCACCGAACGGCAGCGCTACCCTCTGACAGTCGATCATACTGCTCATGTGCCCCACCCCCAAGCGACTGACTTTAGTCCCGCTGCAGGGTGCCACCGAGTGCCGCCACCCACTATTTATCCCACCCCGCCGACGACCCTGGGCGTCTCTAGGCCAGCACCGCCGACCACCGCATCGATTGAGGCGCCCACGTCCACATCAACGTCAGCACCGACGGCCGCATCGAGGCCAGCCTCGATGAGTCCTCAGCCAGTCACTGCTCTGACGCCTCGTCCAGGGCCGCGGGCGGGAGTGCAGCCTTCAGGCGCACTCTCCGCTAGTGGGGCCGCCATGTCATGTCATGCCACGTCCGCCTCGTCGCCCGCATCGTCTGTGTCACTATCTGTGCCGACGACTACATCGACGCCACCACGGACGGCAGCTGGGACGTCCGCATCGGCAGCGACAGCTTTCGGGCGACCGCCTTCGACGTCAGCAGTGGCAGACTCGCCGGCGGCGGCACCAACGTTGGCACCCACGTCGGCATCTACGGCAGCACCCCAAACGGCCTCCACAGCGGTATCCACGACAGCACCCATGACTGCATCCACGGCGGCATACACGGCCGTGGCTCCCGCGCTCACGTCCGCACCGACGCCAGCATTGACGACAGGGTCGGCCTCAGTATCGTCGGCACCGACGGCGGCATCGACGACGAGATCGACGCCATCAGGCACACCCACGGCTATTGGGGCCGCCATGCCACGCCGTATCATGTCCGCCACGTCGACACCTACGCCTGCGCCACGGCCCGCATCGACCCCAACAGCGACGTCAGCACCGACGACCGCATCGACGCCTGCCTCGACGAGCCCTCAGCCATTCACTGTCCTGACGCCTCGCCCAGGGCCGCTGGCGCGGGTGCCGTCTTCAGGCGCACCCTACGCTAGTGGGACCGCCATGTCATGTCATGACACGTCTGCCTCGTCGATTTCATCGTCTGCGGCACTGTCTGCATCGACGACAACATCGACGACAGCACGGACGGCAGCTGTGACGGCCGCATCGGCAGTGCCAGTTTTCGGGCGGCCGC